GCTCTGAGGTATTTGCTCTATTCTTTCTGAGTTCTTAGTTTCTTTGTTCTTGTTGCCTAGCTTGGTGGCCAGGAGTAGACACCTTCGTGTTAGCACTTCCACACGATAGTCCGACCTTGTCGGCATTCTAAAGCTTCCGCAATCCGAAGCCTTGAAGGCTTGGTTCCAACCTTTGTGAGTTTGCACACTCACTTAGCTTGGGTAAGGCTTACTTAGTCGCCGAGGAGACCGAGGAGCGTCTAAAGCGTCTAAGGCCGCACGACCCGTCAGACCTTGACTCTGATATTCCGACGGTGTGAGGCGTCAAAGTTCTGGGGGCGTGACAAGTGGTATCAGAGCGAGTCGTTGTGGGTAAGCAACGATCGTTTCAACCGTGTTTGGTGGAAGGTGCAAAACTGGGTAAGTTTGTTTTACTTACTTTTAATCAATTTACTTGATAATTGAAATGGGGCACAAGAAAAGAGGAGTTTCCGCACGCAAAGGCAAGGAGTGCCATGGTGGGAAATGGAAAGAGAGTCCGTTGGGCTCAAGAGCATCGTCGGTTTCCAAGCATGAGGATGTCGTGACGAGTTCGCAAAGAATGCTCGAGGCAACTATAGCACACCAAAGGGAGCCGGTTCTCGAGGTAGAAAGGCTCAAGGGTGACGCTGAAGGCATGTCCGAGCGAGACACATTCACTCATGAAGACGAGGAGAGTCTTCATGAGGAACAAGAAGAACTGACGATTGACGAGAAATGGGCCTATTTGATGGAAGGTTTGGCTTTCCACACGAAAAGGTTTATAAAGTTGGAGGAGATCTCAAATTCGTGGGAACAAAGGGTCGGGAGACTTGAACAAGCCGAGGATGAGGCCAAGCAGACCCAGGGTGTTGTGGAGTCCCGCCTTGATCGATTAGAGTCCATGGAGGGCAGATTCAAGGTCGAGACGCAACGAGTTCTAAACGAGTTGGAGATGGTTCGAGGGAGGAATGCCCAAGAAGCCGAGGTAGCGGCTTTGAGAAGCGAGGTGGATGAGCTCAAGAGGGAGCTACTCATATGCAAGGGAGCAATGAGTGAATGGGGTGCGCTCAAGACCTTCTTGGAAGGACTTAGACCAGGGGCGATGCTCGGGGGAGAGCAAGGTGATGCCCAGAGACTTTCGGGAGCCATAGCTGTAGCCGGAACGCTAACTGAGCTTGCTGATGTCAAGCCAAGTAGCAATGTGTCGTCCAGGCCCATGCCCAGGGATAGTGGCAACAATGGGGGAGACCGGGAAAAGGTGCAGCGGGGAGATGGTAGAGAAAGCTCTTCGAGTGGCCAAGTTGAGCCATCGACTGTTCGCGGCCAAGGAAAGCTATCGGGAAAGAATGGCAAGGCCAAGTTCGGGGAAAAGAAGAAGGGGAGCAAGGAAAAACTGAAATGCTACTTCTGTGATGGTCCTCACTTGATTAGAGGATGTCCCAAGAAGCGTCGCCTTACAACCATCATGAGGATGATGGGAGAAGGAGAGGTAGCAAGAGTTGGCGGAGACACGAGTAAAGCTGCCAAGTCAAGGGAAAGACTTGGTCCGATTGATGGGATCAATGCGGCCAAGCAACGAACACAACGAGGTAAGGCTGTCGATGATGAGGTGGCCGAACCCAGAGTAAAGCTCGATGCGATTACGGGTGTTCAAGCAATCAAGTCAGGAGCAAGACTTGATGAGGCTACATGTTCCAAAGTAGCCGAGTCAAGGGGCAAGCGTGGAGCGACTACAAGCTGTCAAGTAGCTCGCCCAGGATCGAGACGTGACGAGACTGCGAGTGTCAAAGCAGTCGAGCACAAGAAGGGACCCAGTACGATAGCGAATGATAAAGCCGTCAAGCCGAGGGTGCAAAGTGAGGAAGTTCGCTCACAGAATGCCAAGATGGAGGCGTGGTCCAAGTTGAGGCGCCTCAGGCATAAGGGGACACTGAAGGAGTATGTGAGCCGATTCAGAAGACTCATACTCAAAGTCCCAAGTTTGACTGAAGAAGAGGGATTCTTCACCTTCATGTTTGGATTGAAGCCGTGGGCAAAGAGGGCGTTAGAGCGAAGGGAAGTCAAGGAGCTGTCTGAAGCCTTGACAAATGCCGAGTCCATCAAAGAGTTTGGAGTCAAGAAGAAAAAGACTTCCAAAACAAAGCCAAAAGCTGAGGGTAGCGGCAAGAGATTCTGTAATGAAGGCAAGTCGAAGGATGAGGAATGTTGTTCCTCGAGTGGCAGAATAAGTCCACTCAATGATGAACCAGATGGGGAATCTGGGGAAGATGTCTGCACTGGTTCAAGTGACACAGACATTAAGCCAAGGGTAAGAGCTGAGCAAACAAAGGGGCGCAAACTTGGGGTGCCAACAATGTTGCGAGATTACCCAAGGGGAGCCGAGTCATCCAAGGTAACGGATGAGCCCAGGATCGAGTTGTCCAGAGAAGAGGACGAACCAAGGATCCAGGGGGCGTTAAGACTTGGCGCAATACGATATGTTTCTGCCAAGGCGAGTAGAAGCCAAGTGCAGGAGACACCACCCATTTTCGAGGTGGAAAGCGAGCTCCAATCTTTGTGTTAGAAGGGAGGAGGGGCATCGGACTTTGCCGTGAGAAAGTGTCGATGCATGATGGCGCAAAGAACTCCAATGATAAGGGTTCAATGCGGGGAGTGTCAGACTTCATGGAGTAAGAAGGGCTGACGCAAAAATTTAAGCAAATGCCAACTAAATCAGAGGGGAAGGTATATCTCAGCACAATTCTCGTGTTCTTTTGAGTTTAATTTTCCATTTTAAGCAAGTGTAGGTCGAGCAAGACCTAACTCTTAACGCGGGAGAATCAAAAAGTTTGGATGGGATCCAAGACTTTTCCGCAAGGGCCAGGAGGGTCCAAACCGAGGCAAATCAAGACTTGTAGGATGGAGTTCCTACGGAAGAGATGCACTTGTGGGCGTGTTAGCCCATTTCATCACTTGGCGGCAAGAGCCGAAGCAAGCACAACCATTATGGGAGGCTGAGTCCTTATGGGGGGACGTGAGCAAGTGGAGGCGTCGAAAGGCAACCAAGTTGATGTGAACTATGGCGTGAAAGATCGGGAAAGTTACATGAGGCAAAAGCCAAGGCAAGCAGTTCGTATGGGAGAACCGCGACAAGCCAAGGCACTGAAGAGTTTCCAAGATGGTGTTGCCCATGATCATCGAGTGTAGCGACGAGGGCGTCGCTAGGTTCGGTGGGGGAGAATGTCACGGGCTAGAAACTTGGGTCCGAGACATTGGTGTAAGCGGCCGACCAAGAGGTTCAATACTGAGAATCGGGCCTACCGTGACCACTAGACTTAGCCAATTCTTGGAGAATGATTAACAAGTCCGTGAAGGATCTATTCTGAGGCGTCCGAGAGGAGCGACGAGGGCGATGGGGACAGTGTTGTCAAGGCTCGTGGATTCGAACCGAGACATGTGAGCAGATATCTGTAAGAGAATTATACAGACTATTGGGCTTGCCCAGAACCATCAGATCTGACCCATTCCTTGGAGGATTCTAGAAGGATAAGGTTAGGTGGGATTTCCTTGATTTAAGGGATTGAGTTAGGTGGGAATCAATCCTAGCCTTTCATGTAAAACGATCTTAGCCATCGATTGAGAGGGAGCTCCCCTATAAATAGAGGGTTCTCCTCCTCATTTATAATCACCCAATTCTATTCTTCTCTTTGTGAGAGAGTAATAAAGCTCTGAGGCATTTGCTCTATTCTTTCTGAGTTCTTAGTTTCTCTGTTCTTGTTGCCTAGCTTGGTGGCCAGGAGTAGCCACCTTCGTGTTAGCACTTCCACACGATAGTCCGACCTTGTCGGCATTCTAAAGCATCCGCAATCCGAAGCCTTGAAGGCTTGGTTCCAACCTTTGTGAGTTTGCACACTCACTTAGCTTGGGTAAGGCTTACTTAGTCACCGAGGAGACCGAGGAGCGTCTAAAGCGTCTAAGGCCGCACGACCCGTCAGACCTTGACTATGATATTCCGATGGTGTGAGGCGTCGAAGTTCTGGGGGCGTGACATCATATATTACCTACTTATACTCTGTCACGAATCTTATTTATCTTTATATTTATTCTAAAAATTATTTGTATTAAAAATAAATGTTAACTAACTACTTTAAATACCACTAATCTTTAAACGATTCGTATATACCACCAACATTTTGTGCTGACGTTGATATTACAATGTCATTTTGCTTGAAAAAATATATTGAAATATTGAGATCGAGGATATTTGAACCCCCTAGACCCATGGAAATAGATCTAAAAAATGTCTCAAATGAGGAAATCAAAGAAGCTTTCTTCACCCAAGGGAATGACAAAGCCCCTGGCCCTAATAGGTACTCTCCTTTATTCTTCAAAAAGTCCTGGCCTATTATTGCTGAAGACACTACTGCTGCCATAAAACAGTTCTTCCAGGATTCCTTCTTGCTTCCTGCTTTTAATGCCACTGCTATAGCATTGGTTCCAAAAATTCCAAATCCAAGTAAAGTCAAAGACTTCATACCCATTTCATGCTGTTTTTTGGTTTACAAAGCAATTTCTAAGATCCTGGTCAGCAGACTTTCCAGACTTATTCCTGACTTTATCACTCTCAACCAAACTGCTTTTATCAAAGGCAGAAATATTGTTCACAATACCCTTTTGGCTTAGGAACTTGCCAAAGGCTACAGCAGGAATTGTATCTCACCTAGATGCTCTTTGAAAATAGATCTTCATAAAGCATTTGACTCTCTAAATTGGGGTTTTATCATTGCTATTTTAAAAGCTCTAGGTCTCCCTCATGTCTTCATTAACTGGATTCAAATTTGTTTTTCAACTACAAGCTACTCTATCTCTTTTAATGGGAGTTTAATGTGTCATTTCAAAAGTGCAAGAGGAGTTAGGCAAGGAGACCCCCTATTTCCTTTTTTATTTGTTCTCTCTATGAATATTCTTTCAAGACTTCTCAACCTAACTGTTGCTAACGGAGCTTTTGGATACCATCCAAAATGCAAAAGAATTGTTCTTACCATCTCTCTTTTGCCGATGACCTCTTAATATTTTGCAAAGGGTCTGTGGATTCTGTTATTAGATTTACTACTGTCCTTGATCTTTTTTATGAAATGTCTGGGTTAAGCCTTAATGCTTCTAAATCTGATCTGTTTTCTGCTGGAATTCCCTCCACTGATCTTGAGAAAATTAAACAGATTACTGGCTTTAAGCTTAGCAGACTCCCTGTTTGTTACTTAGGTATTCCCTTGGTCACTATGAAGATTTCTGAAAAAGACTGTTATTCTCTCATTGATAATATTAAAGCTAGATTAAAATTCTGGTCTGGTAGAACACTCAGTTATGCTGGCATATTGGAATTAATCCGAGCAGTGTTATTTAGCATTGCAAACTATTGGTGCATACAATTAATCCTTCATACCTCTGTTATTAAAAAGATTGAACAGCTCTGTTCAAGGTTCTTCTGGAAAGGGGCTGACAAATCAGCTGCTGGTGGAATGGTGAATTGGCAGAAAATACGTCTTTCAAAATCTGAAGGGGGTCTTGGCCTTAAAGACTTAAAAACATGGAACAAGGCATGTTTGATGCTTCTTATAAAACACATACTGGCAGGTGAAGGTTCTTTATGGGTGGCATGGCTTAGAAACTACATTTTCAATGTCTATGACTTCTGGAATATTGGGATTAAGTCTTCCATGAGCTGGAACTTAAAACAAATATTGAAAATGAGACCAGAAGCTTTTTTTGTTTTGCTGTCTTCTACGAAAAAAGTCAAAGAAATATGGAATGTTATCAGAGTTAAGACTCCCAAAGTCCCTTGGCATAAACTGTTATGGTTCCCTCTTCACATCCCAAACACAACTTAATTACTTGGATGGTTTTCCTCGACAGACTTCATACAAAAGAAAGGTTACAATGCATGGGACTTCTTAATGACTGTCATTGTGTTTTCTGTGGTACTGACATGGAAACTAGGAATCATCTGTTCTTCGAATGTCCCACTGTTGGTTCTTTATGGGCTGCTGTCTTCTCTCTAAATGGTTTGCAAAACCATCTTTTTTCATGGAATGATCTCCTTACTTGGGCTACTGCTAAATGGAAGGGTAAATCCCTTCTCACATACATTTTTAAGCTTGCTTCCAATGCCCTTATTTACACTCTATGGGAAGAAAGGAACAAAAGGATTTTTCAAGAACGTTCAAGGACCATTGAAGATCTTATTCAAGCCATTAAAGAAACGATTGGTTTTCAATTAAGGGGTAAAAACCTCAATAGATTAGATACTGTTAATATTACTCTTTGCAACAATTGGGGTTGTAGACACTAATTTCTTTCCCTATAATGTATATATTATATAATATATATAATTTACATATTTTTTCCTTTTTATTTTACAGGCCCAATGATAAACCCAAATCCAGCAGGCCAAGTGTGCAACAAACCCAGCCACACGTCCAGTCGCATCTCCAAGACTCCATGTGTATCACATCGCCTCACGCTTTCCTCTCCGATTATTCCGACAAACGTTACTCCATCACCAACACCACGCGAAGAACGGGCCACCAAGCAACAAATAGAAGAACTTTAGTTCAAATAGGACTCAAAGTGTAATCTAAAAATAGTATATTTTAGGCTATAAATACATGTAAAATAAACATGTAAGGGATGATTTTTACAATGGGGGGACATTAGATACAATACCACAGAGAGTTTTTACACACGAAAATCGCTGAGAAATACGCAAGTTGAAATTCGAGAGAAACTTTGTAACATTCGAACGAAGAACAAAATAACTTTCAAGGTATCCTCCATTTTTACAAACGTTATTTTTTCGTTTTGCATGTTCGAAAATACCGAGTTTCATAATCAAATAAGGGTTTAGTTCTTTACCTGAGAGATATCCATTTCCCGACGAAGCTTCTTCGACCTTTCTCATGTCGTTTGGAGCTTCTTTGGTGCAAAAACGATGGTGGAGATGAGCCGCAGTGAAGAAAGCAAAAGAGGAGGAGAAAGCACAGTTGAAAGTCAAATGAATTCACGCGTGAAATAAGGGGTTTTTTTAGTTTCATAGATTTTTTGGTTTAATTAGGACACTAGCCATTAAGGAGTTCCTCCTTTGTAGCACTGGAGTTAGGTTTATATTTCTTTCAATTTGGTCACTTACTTCAGTTTTACCTCTGAACTTTCAATTTACTTAATCTAGTCCCTACTTGCACTTTTATGTTTTGTGAATTAACCCCCAATTATGTTTCTTTCCTTTTACAGTCCACTTTTAGTGTTAATTTTAGTCCGTAAATTCTAATCTCGTTCAATTTGATCATTTTTTATTATTCATTTTTTTACTTTCTTAACATTTTCCTATATTTTATTTTAAAATTTAACCTTTTTATGTTTATTTTTTTTCTAGATCTTATTTTATTTTATATTATAATAATTGTTTTTCTCATTTTTCTTTCTAATCCCTTTTTATTTTTTATGTTTAAAGTTTTTATTTATTTTTTATCCTGTTTCATTTTTTCCTCGACTTATTATTATTTTCTTTTTTCCCTTATTTTCATTTTTTAACTTATTTAATATTTTTATCTTTTTGGTTTCTTTTTTCATATCTTCTTTCCCTTTGAATTATTATTATTATTATTATTATTTTCTCTCTTTTATTTAATATTTTTTTTCTTTTTTATCTAACCTTTTTTACTCTTTCTTTTTTTAAGAATTCCAACCGATCAGAGGTAAGTAATTCGAATTGAATGTTTTAAATTTCAATTTTAATTTTAATTTTCGTAATTAAGACAACCGATAAATTAATTGGTACCGAAATGGCGGTTCAAGGGTGCTAATCCTTCCTTAACCGTAACCGACTCCCGACCCCAATACGTTTCTGGTAAAACGCATATCAGGTAAGATGGTGTCCGACCCACCTAAATTCATTTTAAAATGGTCGGTGGCGACTCCTAACCCAATTCATTCAGGTCGAAGCCCAATTTCGGGCCCAACCGAAAGACGGTTACGACAGCTTGGCGACCCCAGTGGGGACAAGTAAGTGAGTCAGGCCAGAATTAATTTTTAGTTGTCTTTTTATGCAAGAATAGTAAATTTAAATTTATTTATTCGATTCCAATTATTTACCTTTGATTATTTTTTAATTAAATAGTTTTACTTACGGTTTTCTCAATGATTTCAACCCTTAAATTCTTTTTCATCTAAGGCTCTATACCCGAGCTCCGAACCTTGTTTTTAAGTGAGGGTAAAAGTGACGCCTTCGTGAGAATTTATTCTCCGCACAGGCCTAGCAAGTAGCCTTCGGGATTCATATACCTTATGTCTTCGTGTGAATTTATTTACTGCACAGACATAAGAGAATGTGTCCTCTCGAGTTTAACTTAGTCCACACAAGCTTGTATTGGGCTTAGGACTAAGGATCTGGCAAGCCCAAGGGGGCACCAGCAAGGAGAACTCGGGTACCTTTTTAGAACCTAAACCGGGAGACTACAAGAGTTAGAGCCCACCCCAAAACCCCATTTTAAAACCTAGGGTGCTTGAATTATTTCATGCTCAAAGCATGGGAACTAGACAAATATGCGGTTAGGATTTGTTTGAAATTAGCATGCGGGATAGAAATCATGTCCGGGTAAGAATAATAAGCATGTGGAGTAGATATCATGTGGGGTATGACTTTTATTTTCATGATTGTTTTTTAATTATTTTCACCTCACTAACTCTTTTCATTTTGTTTTCTTTTATTTTATTTTCATTACTTGCATCATCTAAAAGAGGTGTTGATCCACCAAAAACGTGTTTGTTAAACATGAACAATCTACATTAATGGACAAAGGGGTTATAATACTAAGAGATGAAAAGCTCAGAAGTCCAATCGTGGTCAAAGAATACTCCGAGATAAAGGTTGTAGGGGCAAGACAAGAAAATGTTACTGACAAGGACGGTCCTTTCGAAAACTACGAGAACAAGATGGCGAAACCCTAGCTAAGCTAGAGACCGTTATTGACGAATTCAAGAAACGAGCCGATAAACTTTTGATGGAGTCGGAGATGCAGTCCTTCAAGACCTTTTTTTTGGGCAAGCAGCTCGTCACTAGCACCAGTTTAGCCAAAGGAGCCGGAACGGTTCGACAAGGCATTCAACCGATGACAATGGTTGAGGACGAGACAACTTGTCAGAGGCTGTTCAGGATTTATACCATCAAAATGTTTTTTGTCTCTTTAGACGTAACGCTTTTATCCCCAATAAGGATTATTTATAATAACATACATTTTTTGGATCAATGCCTCAAACATTTCATGCATCATGCATATTTTGTATTTTGTTATTTTCATTCCTTTGCATTTGCATTAACTAACGGAAGAATGTCTCATCAAAAGGAGCAAATACTGGATACACCGCCTCAAGCGTTGGACACACCCCATCCGCATAACACCCGCTTGAAAAAGAAGAAAATGGAAGCCATAATTGCTTAGATCGAGGAGAACATATTGAAGCTCCAGAGAGAGCTAGAAGATAAGATAAACCAGAGTAGTCTGAATACTCTGAATACAATCACGAAGAACCAAGAGTCATTGGTCAATCAGATTGTTGCCAAGCTAGTTGGCCTACGTCAAATAAGTGCACCTGGGGCAGGTTCATTGGAAGGGGTAACTATACCACCTACCCCGCAAGTGATTGCCTCATCTGGAATCTTACCAGAACTTCAAAGGGACTCATCCACTGCAAAAAAAAAAAGACCCCATCTGCTGCAAAGATACAGACTGTTGTATCTAACCCTGAGAACAATCTGGGTTATTACCATATACCAGATTTGGATGAAGAGGACAAAGCAAAGAAGATAGAAGAAAAAATTAAGCGATTGGAGGACCAAATGAAGGTAGTTAAATGATACCATGACTACCATGGAGTCGATACCGCAGAACTCAGTCTAGTCCCAGACTTGGTTATTCCTCCAAAATTCAAGTCCCCAGAGTTCGAGAAGTTTGATGGAAACAGCTGCCCATACGTCCACATTACCATGTTCTGTCGAAAGATGGCATGATATGGAGGAAACGATCAACTTCTAATACATTGCTTCCAGAAGAGTCTGTCGGGATCAGCCATCCGGTGGTATAATCAACTAAGCTGATCCCATATCAAGACTTGAAAGGACTTATCCAGGATATTTCTGGAACAATATAAACATATCAATGACATGAGACCCGATCGAGTTATGCTACAAAGTATGGAAAAGAAACATAATGAGAGTTTCAGATAATTCGTACAGAAATGGAGGGATTTAGCTATGCAAGTTCAACCACCCTTGGATGAAAAGGAAAGTATAAAGTTGTTTGTGCAGACGCTAAAGGCTCCTTATTTCGGGCACCTGGTCGCAATCACATCTGGAAATTTCGCTGACATAGTAATGGCTGGAGAAATGATAGAAATAGCCATAAAGCAAGGAAAAATCGAAGGAGGGGATGTTGCTCAAAATCCTTTGCCTAACCACCAAGAAGGCAGAGTCAATATGATTGCGAAAGAAAGAGCTGAGATCAGCCTAAGGGGATCGCACCTAACTATTATGGGGATTAGATCTCATAATGTCTTTTATAAAAAGACTCACATCAATCCAATCCCAATGACATATGAAGAGTTGCTCCCAACTCTAGTTGAGAAGAATCTTGTGACTCTAGTTCAATCCAAACCTAGAGAGGCCCCATATCCTAAAGGCCATGATATTAACACCGTATACAACTATCATATTGGGAGCTCAGGGCACACCACTGAGAACTGTGGGGCATTGAAACGTAAGGTCTAAGATCTGATTGATTCAGGGGCATTGACTTTCAATGTATAATGGAGCATTCTAATCGAGAGTCAGATAGGG